ACTCGGGAGGCAGAGGCAGGCGGATCTCTGTGAGTTCAAGACAAACCTGGTCTACAAGAGCTAGTTCCAGGACAGGCTCCAAAACCACAGAGAAACCCTATCTCGGGAAAAGAGAGAGAGAGAGAGAGAGAGAGAGAGAGAGAGAGGGAGCTGGGCATGCTGGTGCACACCCAGCACTTGGGAGGTGGAGGTAGGAGGGAGCCAGCCTGGGCTACATACCAAGTTCAAGGCTATGAAACCCTATCTCAAAAAATGAAATGGAAGCAAACAACCAGAGTATTTTGGTGTTTTAAGATTTGTAGTTCTCGGGCTGGAGAGATGGCTCAGAGGTTAAGAGCACTGGCTGCTCTTCCAGAGGTCCTGAGTTCAATTCCCAGCAACCACATGGTGGCTCACAACCATCTGTAATGAGATCTGGCGCCCACCTCTGGCATGCGGGCATACATGGAGGCTGAATGTTGTATACACAATAAATAAATACACTATTGTATTATGTGGCTTTAAAAAAAAATTTGTAGTTCTCTTCGGACAGCAAAGGAAAGGGAACCTCTGTATATGTATCAAGCAAGCTCACTGTAAGAACAACTACATAACTTGAAGCCTGTGTGTTGATTGCTCCTGGCTCTCTGTACCGTGGCATTACTGTAATAAATGGCAGATGATTATCTGTACAGGGTGTGGAAACAGAAGTTCAAGGCCCAATCTAAGTCATTTAAACTGCAGCCCACCCTGCCTCTCAATTCCTACCTAACGCAGTCTCCTAAGATATATTAGTTGGGAAAAAGCCAATATACGGAGATTGCAGCAAAGCCCTATTTTCAGTGGTGAGAAATTGGAAGTGATTTAACTGACCATTAGATAACTCAGGTTGAAGCTGAGGGTGCATTTTATATAGCTCTTGGGTGGGAAAGGAGAAGGATCAGGAGTCTAAGACCAGCCTCCCCTACGTACCAAGTTTCAAGCCACTTGGGCTACACGGGGCCTTGTCTCAACCAAGTGAAGATGGGAGCAGCCTAGAGGCAGAGGAGGCAGTGGTCATGGTGACAGGCGTTGGTTCTGTTTATCATGGAAGACAACTGCCAAGATGACAAAGATGCCTGTGCTGCTGAGGAAGTGTCTCTCCCTGTATCCTCCTGTGACCTCTTGCCCTTTCTTCCTTCCCAGATATTTCTTCCCTTGGCCTCTCTGGCAGTCTCCTGGTTTTCCTACTCTCTGCTCCTCGTCACTAACAACTTCTTCCTCCCCAAGCTGCTAAGTGTTAAGTCTCCAGCACCGAGTTCTGGGCATCTTCTTGCTCTACCCGCTCTGTGAGTATCAGACCCCTCAGACTCTATGGTCCTGTGTGGGCAGACAAGTTTGTGACTAGCTCTTGCCTCCCTTCTGAGCTCGGATATTTGTGTCTCAGTGCTCCTACCTGAACCAGCACAATGGCTCAGCAGATAAAGGCACGGGCTGCCCAGCCTGACGGTCTGAGTTTGACCCCAGGATCCACATGGTGGATTGGGAAAGCCAATTCCTGCAAGTTGTCTTGTTACTCCACATGGGTGTGCACATGGTTAATTATTGCTGCCACCCACTGGGCAGTTAACGTGGCTGATCTCTGTCCTAGTTAGGATCACTATTGCTATGATGAAACACCATGACCAAAAGCAACTTGGGGAGGAAAGGGTTTATTTGGCTTATGATACTATTAATCATAGAAGGAAGTCAGGGCAGGAACCTGGAGGCAGAGCTGATGCAGAGGCCTTGGAGATGCTGCTTACTGGCTTTCTCCTCGTGGCTTGCTCAGCCTGCTTGTAGAACCCAGGACCACCAGCCCAGGAATGGCTCCACCCACAATGGGCTGGGATCTCCCTCATAAGTCACTAAGCAAATTCTCCTCCGCAGAGGTTCTCAACCTGTGGGTTGAGACTCCTTTGGGGATCAAACATCCCTTTTACAGGGGTCACCACAACATAAAGGGTCTGCATTAGGAAGGCTGAGAACCACTGTTCTACTGGCTTGCCTAAAGCCTGTTCTTTTCTGGTTTTTGTTTTTTGTTTTTCAAGACAGGGTTTTCTGGCAGCTATGGAGCCAGTCCTGGAACACACTCTGTAGACAGGCTGGCCTCGAACGCAAAGATCCGCCTGCCTCTGCCTCCCCTCCCGAGTGCCAGTACTGGAATCAAAGGTATGTGCCACCACCTACAGCACCCACTTTTTAAAAGATAAGGCTGGGGATGCAGATCTGTGCACCACATGCAGCTGCCCTCCCTCGGCCTCCCAAGGCTGGGAATGCAGATCTGTGCAACCACATGCAGCTGCCCTCTTTTGACCTCCCAAGGCTGGAGATGCAGATCTGTGCCACCACGTGCAGCTGATATATTTTCTTCTTCTTTTTGTTTTTTGCCTTTGGGACATAGTAGACACCAAGAACTATTTCTTTTTCTTCCTTCTCTCTGTCCCTGTCCTCTTTCTTTTTCTGGTATCGGGAAATGAACCCAGACCCTGTGCTCACTAGGCAGGCTATATACACACTCAGCACTCACACACACACACACACACACACACACACACACACTTTTTTTTCTTTTACTTTTGTGTGCATGGGTGCTTTGCCTGCATGTGTGTCTGTGCACTGTGTGCATGCAGTACTCCCAAGAGGCCAGAAGAGGGTGTCAGATCCTCTGGGGCAGGAGTTGCAGCCATTGTAACTGAGTCTGAGCCATTCCTCCAGACCCTTCAACCTTTTTTAAAAACTACCTTTAAGCTCCCAATCGGTCCCCCCCAGCTTCCCCAGTGCCTGGCAATGCTTAGTCCTTGAATAAAAACTTGGGCTGCTTTGAATTTCTCACCGAAATGAGCATAGATTATAGAATTCATTTTGTGTTGTTTGTTCTTATTGTATAATCTGAATATTAATCCTGCGTTAGGATACAAATTCCAAATGTTCCCTCCATTCCAGAGGAGCTTTTCACTCTGCTGATACTGTCCTGTGTCTCAGAAACAACAAGAAAAAAGAAATCATTTTCCTTATGTAAGGGTGTCTATAGGATAAACTCTGAGAATAAAATTTAACATTTGCGTTGGTATAGTTTTGGCAAGATGGTGACAACAAATGCCTTCCAAAGAGGTTTTCCCTCCCCACCAGAAATGTTAGACCTCATTTCCATATCCCCAGTTGAGCCTATTAGCTTTTGAAGAAACGTCTTTCCACTTGATAAATAAAATATGTTCTGCTGAATGGAGATGTGGCTCTCTTGGTAGAGTGTAACACGAATTCTAATTGGTCTTAAATAATATCCGGAGCAGGTATCAGGGGGAAAAAGCTGAAGGATCAGAGAAGCAGTGTGGCCAGCCTCTAGCGAGATCTTTTACCTCTACCGAAGGGGCAAGCGCTCCTGTCCTCAGAGTGTCTCCTTAGACTGCACTGAGCTCCTGTCTTCTTCCCGCCCCTCTCTCCACCCAGCCATATCTCTTCCTGTTTCCACCTCCGTAGTGCTGGGATTAAAGGCTTGGGATCCTAAGAGCTGAGATCACCTTTTGTCTGAGCTCTGTTTCTCGTTTCTCTTTTAGACTGTAGCCCAGAGTGACCTTGAACTAACAGAGGTCCTTGTGCCTCTGAGTCCTGGAAATTAAAGGTGTGTCCCACCACTCCCTGGCCTCTAGTGGCTCTGAAATTAAAGGTGTGTACCACCACTCCCTGGCCTCTAGTGGCTTAGCTCTGCTCTCTGATCTTCTGGCAAGCTTAATTTGTTAAAACACAAACAAAATATCACTACAGTAGGGTCTAGCATGCAAGTACCACAGATGTCCAGGCGCATGTTGTGGGGGTGGAGGCAGGTTACAAATTCAAGGTTAGATTAGATTACCCGTAAGACTATTACACCTTTAAAAATAGAGAAAAGAAGAAGAAAGGAAGGAAAGAGTAAAGAAAGGAAAGGAGGAAGGCAGGGCCAGGAAGGGTTAATGAGTAAGAGTTCTTGATGCATGAGGACCTCATGGGATCCCCAGCACCCACATAAAAAGCTGAGCCTGTCAGGTGGGTACAGTGGCTCACACCTTCAGACGGCAGAGACTAATGAATCTCTGTGAGTTTGAGGCCAACCTGGTCTCAAAGAGTTCCGGACCAGCCAGGGCTACACAGAGAAACCCTGTTTTAGAAAACCAAAGCAAACAGAAAAGCCAGTCATGACCCCATATACCTGTACCCAGAACTGAGGAGATGGGTTGGGTTCAGTGAGAGAGCTTTTCCAAGGGAGGAAGGCAGAGATAAAAGACACCTGTGTCCTTTTCTGTCCTCTGAGTACCTCTCCACACGTACACACCACCCCTTCCTCTCTGTCTCCGTATGTGCTCTCATAGGTAATGTGCACCTCTGCTCACACACACACACCTGCCATGTCTCCACCCCTTCCTCTCTGTCTCCGTATGTGCTCTCATAGGTAATGTGCACCTCTGCACGCACACACACACACACACACACACACACACACCTGCTGTGTCTCTCTCTCTCTGTCTTTCTCTCAAATGAAACAAACACAAATAACCCCATGCCATCCAGTTTGTATACATGATATGGAGTGACTGTACCTTCATATCAAGACCTTAGCTTGGGCTAAATTCAGGTTCAAGCATTGCCTGTAGTTAGGCTACCTCAAAGAGGTTTGCTCACAGCAGCTAAGGTTCAGGGCTGTTACCTGAATGGAGGCCCGCCCATCTTAGAATTCATGGAGTGTTGGTTTTTGTTGACTAATTCCACAAGTTCTTGTTTTGTTTTGAGACAAGGTCTCATGTAGCCCAGGCTGACCTCAGACTCACAAGTGGCTGAGGATAACCTCGAACACCCGATCCTCCAGTTTCTATCCAGTTTACATAGTGCTGCGGGCGGAACACTATTTGGGGGTACTATGTTGAGTGAGCACCCGCCAGCTGAGCTCCATCCGCAGTCTCCTGCCCTGTGCAGCTGGTTCTCACATTTGACCGCATCCTCATGCATCCTTGTTTCTCCCTTCTCTGAAGGTACCAGAAAGCAGCTGAAGAGGCAAACACGGAAAAGAAGAGGAATGTAAGTACTCAGTGGCCCCAGGACAGGTGGAACATGAGCAATCAGTGTGGCCCGGCCACCTGGCCCTCTGTGGAGCGTGGGCTCCGTGTCAACTGAGCTGGACCTTTGTGCCAGCTGCTCTGTGAGCTCTCGCACCTTACCGAGGTGCAGGAAATCCTATTTTCAGCTCTTTTCCTCTTGAACCCCTTTCTCCTTCCTGTGTTGATAAAGGCTAGAAGGCTAAATGCTTTCCTGAGGTTAATAAAATGGCCGCCCGTCAGCTCAGATGAGAGCAGGTCTCCTGGGCCACCCACCTTTCTCCAAATGACCAGTGTGCATTTAAAAGGAAGCCTGGCATCCGTGCTCCTCCCTGGGCTCTTTCTGGAAGCTCCTAGACTGTGCACAGCCACGGGGTCCTCTTCCTGGTCTAACCTCCTGCTGGACCAGATAATTTTCCCTTTATTTGTTTGTTTGTTTGTTTGTTTATTATTTATTTATTTTGTGTACAATATTCTGTCTGTGTGTATGTCTGCAGGCCAGAAGGGGGCACCAGACCTCAATACAGATGGTTGTGAGCCACCATGTGGTTGCCAGGAATTGAACTCAAGACCTTTGGAAGAGCAGGCAATGCTCTTAACCACTGAGCCATCTCTCCAGCCCCTCATTTTCCCTTTTTTAGGGTGGAAAATGCTCTCACTGTGCTCCAGGCCGATCTTGAACGCACAAGCTAGAGAAAGCCCTGGCTTTAGCTTCTGAAGGAGTCAGCGTTATAAGGAGCATAGCCTGGATGACTGCATGACAATTCCCTGTCAGTTTGCTCTCTAGGGGAGTGTTATTGACTAGGTCTTTAGTTTAATTTTCCTGTGATTTGAAAATCGAGTTCCCTGGTACGTTAACAGAGAAAAGCATTTGGTCCTGGTGATTCATGCCAGTTATCCTAGCACTCAGAAGATGAAGCAGGTTTGAGACCTACCTGAGATACATGATGCATTCCAGATCAGCCCTGCCTGCGATGTAAAACCCTGTCAAAAAAGTAAAACCAAAGGAAAAGGAAAAAACCACCATTGTCCTCCCAGCTCCTGGTTGCCCTCACCTCTCTCTCCTGCCTGTTTTCCCGCTTCTTCTGTTTTCTCTTTTACTTGGTTAGTTAACAAGTTTTTGTAGGGCACCTACTATGTGCTAAAGGACCCTGCTGTGTCTGAAGGCTCTGTTTCAGACGCTGTCAGCATGGACCATGTCTTCTAGGGAATTTTCATTCTAGTGGAGGAAATAATGACAAAGCCAAGCAGCGACTGTTGGTTGAGACCAGGGTGAAGATCCAAAGGTAGCTTAAGTGTGGCTCTCTCATCTGACTTCTAAGCAATCCGTGTCTGAGGTCCTGAGCCAAGGAGAGGAAAGATTCCGACAAAAGGAACACCGCACGCAAAGGTTCCAAGTAAGCGCGCTGCTGTTGTATTTGAGAACGAGAAAGAGAGAGTTCTGCAGGGTCCTGGGGAAGATTTGGGCTTTCTCTCTGAAGAGAAAGGGCTTTGGAGAAATCTACCGAGGGCAGAAGTGATCCAGCTTAAACTGTTGAGGAGCAAAGGCAGAGCATAGGGAGCAAGTAAGGAAAAGTCTGGGCCTGGAGGTGGAGCTGGCTGTAGGGTCTCACCTAGTGTTCTGGGGCCCTGGGCCTGGAGATGGAGCCGGTTGTAGGGTCTCACCTAGTGTTCTGGGGCCCTGGGCCTGGAGGTGGAGCCGGTTGTAGGGTCTCACCTAGTGTTCTGGGGCCCTGGGCCTGGAGGTGGAGCCGGTTGTAGGGTCTCACCTAGCATTCCGGGGCCCTGGGCCTGGAGATGGAGCCGGTTGTAGGGTCTCACCTAGTGTTCCGGGGCCCTGGGCCTGGAGGTGGAGCCGGCTGTAGGGTCTCACCTAGCATTCCGGGGCCCTGGGCCTGGAGGTGGAGCCGGTTGTAGGGTCTCACCTAGTGTTCTGGGGCCCTGGGCCTGGAGGTGGAGTTGGCAGTACCGTCTCACCTAGCATTCCGGGGCCCAGGGTTCAATCCCAGTACAGAATAAATCAGGTGTAGACATGCCCAAGTGCAGTCCAGCATTGAGGAGGTGGAAGCAAGAGGATCAGAAATTCAAGATTATTCTCAGCTACATAGTGAGTTCAAGGCCAACCTGGGCTACAGGAGACCCTGTCTCAGAAGAAAGAAGGAAGAAAGGAAGGCAGGGAGGAAAGAAAGGAATTAATTACTCAATTAAGGTGAGTATGGTAGAACTAACATCGCAGCACTGTTAGGGAGGCTGAGGACAGCTTGAGTTACATTGTGAGTTCAAGGTCAGCCTGGGCTATGTATTGAGACTGTCTCAGAAAAAAGAAACAATTGTAATAATTTAGAAAAGAAAGATAATGAATTGAACTGTAAGAGTGATATTGTGATAAGAAGCCCAAATACCATTAAATTAAAATACTATTAATTGAGATCAAATCAGCTTTGACCCTGTTTCATATATGGCTGGTCTGTCGTCTGTCTTTTTCCATGTCTTAATATAGGGTTTCATGTGGCCCAGATTGGCTTTGAACTCATTATAGCCAAGGTTAGCCCTGAACTCCTGCTGGAATTATAGACATCCACCCCCACACCTGTTCTGAGGGACTTTCTTAAGACACACAAGTGGAGTCGTGGACTAGAGAGATATTAAGATCCCTTCCAGAGGACCCAGGTGTCTTACAACTGTCTATAACCCCAGTTCCAGGGAATCCAGTGCTCTCTTCTGGCCTCTGTGGGCGCTGTATGCACATGATATACAGATACACACAGGCAAACCCCACACATAATGGAATGGGTGAGAGGTGATGCAAGCCTGTAATCATAGCTGTTGTGGGAGGATTGCCAAGGGTTCAAGGCCAGCCTGGGTACTTAGCGAGTGTCAGAGCAGCTAGGTCTACATAGCAAGATGCTATCCAAAAGAAAAGAGGAGGGGGACATAGAAGTGAAAATGGCAAATAGGAACTTGCCTCTCCAATGTGACGTTGCAATAAATCTAGGCTGGAGATAAAATGGCATAGGTCAAAGTCTCTGGCACTTGGATGAGCCACAGGGCATAACCTAGGGTGTGAGTGTAGACAGACAGGAAGTTGATGACTGAGCTCAGGAGCACTGTGGGGTCTCACCTCTCTCTCTCTCTCTCTCTCTCTCTCTCTCTCTCTCTTGTTTTGCTTTATGGACCTAGAAGTTGAACTCAGGCCTTGTGCATGCTAGGCAGAACTCCACCTCTAAGCTGTACCCCCAAAATAGAGCCATCCTGTTTAAAGGCTGAAGAACTGAGGAGGAGCTGGCGGAGGAGGCAGAGAGTTCAAGGCCACTCACGCTGGGCTGAGGGAGAACCTGTCTCAACAAACAGAAAAGGATAGGGGCAGTGGTCTGTACCAGCAGATGGCAAAGGCAAGGAGTCCACCTTAGCTTGTTTGGTAGTTGAGGTCAGTGAATGGCAAGGGTCATTAAAGAAGATGTACTAACATGTGAGCCAATGGTTAGCCTCCCTGACGGTCAGGGAAGCACTGAGGTGTGCACTGTGATGTAATAGATGTTCATCAGTGGGGAGTGGGGAAGCATGGTACAGCTATACAATGTAATATTTGTTCCATGTAGTTAAGATTCTATGTATGTGGCATATACATGTCACATGCCTGTAATCTCAGCAGTCAGGCAGGAGCAGGAAGAGGTTTAGGCTGTGTCTAAAGATCTATCTTTAAAAAAAAGAAACAAAGGAAAATGACTGAAATGTGAAGAAATGGAAATTGTCACTGCACCTTTGAGGGCCCTTCACTACGCAATGCAAGAGATAGCACTTAAAATAGCAATAAATAAGAGCCACCTTTTCTGTACTTTTTTTTTTTTTTTTTTTTTTTTTTTGGTTTTTCGAGACAGGGTTTCTCTGTGGCTTTGGAGCCTGTCCTGGAACTAGCTCTTGTAGACCAGGCTGGCCTCGAACTCACAGAGATCCGCCTGTCTCTGCCTCCCAAGTGCTGGGATTAAAGGCATGTGCCACCACTGCCCGGCTTCTGTACTTTCTTTATTTTGAATTTTTTTTTAAATATTTATTTATTATGTATACAATATTCTGTGTGTATGCCTGCTGGCCAGAAGAGGGCACCAGACCTTATTACAGATGGTTGTGAGCCACCATGTGGTTGCTGGGAATTGAACTCAGGACCTTTGGAAGAGCAGGCAATGCTCTTAACCTCTGAGCCATCTCTCCAGCCCCCTATTTTGAATTTTTGTGTGTGTGTGTGTGTGTGTGTGGTTTTTTGAGACAGGGTTTCTCTGTAACTGTCCTGGCATCCGTTTTATAGACCAGGCTGACCTTGAACTCACAAAGATCCACCTGTCCCTGCCTTCCAAGTGCTGGGATTAAGGCATGTGCCACCATCTCTCGGCTGAAGTTGTTTTTGAATTAGAGTAAATTATACCTTTATCTAAATGACTGTGGTAGTGTATACCTATAATCCCAATACTTAGGAGGCCATGGCAGGAGGAGCACGGGTTGGAGACAGTTTATATAGTGAGACATTGTCTCGGGATAAAACATCTGGCTGGAAAGATGGATGAGCAATTAAGAACATGTATTGGTCCTGTAGAGGACCAGGTTGGATCCCAGCACCACACTGGGCAGGTCACAGTGAACCTGTAACTTGAGATCCAAGGCCTCTGGTTTGAGGGCGCCAGCACTCACGTGCACACACCTCTACACAGCCACACACATACATGACTGAAAATAATAGCTAGTGTCACATGCACACACCCTTTATCAAACTTCTTACTGAATGTCCTACAGAGCTCTGAAAACACTTCTCAAGGCCAGGGACTGGTCAGATAGCTCAGCAGTTAGAACTCTTCCAGAGTACCTGTTTCAATTCCCAGCACCTACACAGCAGCTTAACACTGCCTGTGACTGCAGCTGCAGGGGTTAGACATTTTCGCAGAGACATACACACAGACAAAGCACTAATGCACATAAATTAAAAGCAGTTTC